ATCCGTCGAAAACGCTTAGGTTAAGGGCTCACTCACCTTCCTAATCGGCTGTGCTAAGGGAATGAGAGACTAAGCGCGGAGAGGAGAGTATGAGGCGAGAGAGCGCACAGACAACAAGCTAAACAACAGCCTGGTATAGAAAAAAATTGCAGCTGCTTTAGTTTACAAAGCCCTCACGCACTCGCGTATCACAATGCACGCAGTGCCACAATGTATGTTCTCTACTGCTATCCATATGACTAAATGGAACGGTTAGCAATTCGTCTGAGTGTGTGTCTTCAAGGGATCAAGAGAAGCATTCAGGATAGACAGTACTTCGCCTGTACACGTATTCTCACCACTTCAAATCGTGTAAGTGATTCGTAAATAGCAGATACAAACTACTTGCTTAGACCAGCCTCAAAGACTTGCGCTGCCAGCCACTGTACAAGGTCAACGTTTGTGTATCAATTACGACATCGGTGGACAGAAAATTGTCACCTAGAGCCCAATATTTGATCCCAGATCGTACGCATCGTAATGGCATAGTTTCCAATCACACAATTCCTAGTATCACTCTGTACGGATATGAAGCGAAAGTTCCTCACGAATAATTGAATAGAAACTTTACTGATAATAAAAAAAACGCAATTGCTAGTCGCAGAAACCGCGCTAAAGAGGGAAGTGAAGTGAGTTCTGCCAGAAGGGTTGGGCCATTGTGCGAGATGTGGCCCCGAGAACAGCATACGCGTCCGGCATACTTGATGAGCGTGGAATTTACATGCAATGCATAGCCATCGGTAATTTCGGTTTGTCACCAGGAGTTATCGGGGACGTGAGAATTGGCGGGGGATATACACCCGCCGAAACAGAAATTTTCTCCTGCACCTCCCACTCTTCACATGCCCTTCTAACACGAAGCAAGCCCCCGGCGCAGCGCCGCGACCCTACCCCCCCCCCCCAGGAAAGTAAAGACCCCCCCCCCCCCGTACTACTTTACAACATAGGTGACCCTGGAGCATATAATCTGACGGCGGATATCCACTCGCAAATGCTTGGCATTTGACTTATGAAGGACTGCATTGCAAACAAAAAGTTTTTTTAGAGTTTTCGGATTTTTTTCTCCTAGAAAATAAAGTGGTTCTACTGATAGAGTTAAAGGAATCCTTCGCGGAAAATTCTTGCATTCTTCCTTGACATGACTGGTATCAGTTGTGAACAGTGGAAACAGCTCACAAAGTTTCACGCATGAAGATTCGGTTTCCGAAAACTTACAACGATTCCACTTTATGACAATTGCGTAACCCTCGCCTTCAAATGACCAGAAATTGTGCAATTGCAGAAATTGACGTGGCATTAACGTGGCATCGATTCAAGAACATCTTTGAGCACACGTGATGTCACCTTTTCATCGAGAATTTAGCCACGTGTGCCAATGCCACGTCAATTTCTGCAATTGCACAATTTCTGGTCATTTGAAGGCGAGGGTAAGTGGCACGGAGCCAAAGGCGGGGCACAGAAAGAAATCCGCCTTGGGCGCCTACATATCAGACGACGCAATGAAAGAATCGGGTTAAAGTGTGCGATTTTGGAGAGTGGAGACAAATCGATCGATAGAATAGGATGCAGTAGAAGTGTGAGATGTTAATGCAATAAGTCAAAAGGCCAAAAGTTTCTAGTGACGGCACTCCAAGAACCAAGTGGAAGCATTCCCGTCGCCAGCATTTGTGACAGATGTCGGACGGTCTTTCGAAGGCTTAGCAGCCCTTACGTTTTTCGATTTTTTTACAAAACAAGTGCAATTTTTTTGTTATCTTCGTTCTTTCTATAAAGATTGGTCTCAAGCCAGTGAAAATATGACTTGAGCAGAATCACGAGTTTCAGAGAGATTTCTTAAAGCACTTGGGAAGGGGATTCCTCGGCGAAACGTAAGGATTGATGTTGCATTCATCATTTTTAAGTCAAATATACGTTTAAAAAAACTCGCGAATCGCGTGCAACAATAAATTGACCTGGCCGGACATCAAGAGGGGCGAAAAATTCGGAATTTGAGAGGGCACCAAAATTTTCAGTCTTTTTACCTGGTATCCTTATTTTTCGATAGATTCTGCTCTCTCTCTCTCTCCGATTTCGTCTTTCATTTTCTTTAAAGAGGACGTTATCTATCGTTTGGGGGGGGGGGGAGGACTGTGAAAGAAAGGAGAGCAATATGCTGCGTAATGACCTTAAAAGACACGCATAATTGTGTTCCTGTTGGTTACGTGGAGTAGACCTGAATTTCTTTTTTCTATCATTTATTCTTACAACATTTTAGAACCAAGAGTAGACGGGTAGAGTCTGAACATGTAGACCAAAATTTTTACCATCGTCTTTCGCGTTCCTTAGACTTTTGAAGGCTTTTGCGACGTTTTGATGTTTTGCGATTTGAAATCCACCGAAAATTAATTTCACGAGAGAACTCTGGCTGTCCGTGAAATTGACGTCTCTTGCAGGAAAACCTGCCAGATTCAGATAGATAGGCTTCAAAACTTATTCAAGCCCTTGGATTGAGAAATGACTTTAGGGCGAACTACAATTGCGCAGCAGGTTTTGATTCTCCGATCAAAAGAGAGTTAGTTCTTGAAGAGGAATAGAATAAGACCGACAAATCAGTGAGTGCAGTGAGAACGACCGTTCCCATTGCTTGCATTCCACCTTGTTAACACATTGACGACAGCACGCGTTTCGGCTTTTCTGCCACGATGGAGCAGGGGCGATTTTCGAACACTGACTAGCCCGCACTCGCACCCGTAAATGTGAATGATAACTTTCAAAGCACCAGTGGTACAAAAACATCTCAGTAACAGTCAATGCGTAGAAGGTAATAGAGTATATAGTGACGAAGTTCCGATTAAAGAACATGTAATGGTAATGAAAAAGGAAATTTTAGTCATTTTATCTGTAGTGGATGCCAAAAGCTCTTTTGATGTGATTGTGTTTCACTACCCCTTTTTGGCATGTCATGAGAATAGGAGAAAACGAGGAATGAACCGAGCTGCCAATTCCGCTGCGCTTGAAAAACTTCTGCTAAACTGGAGCATATTTGACCATACCGTGACCCATGTCGTTTACAGTTAATGTTATGTTGTAATCCATAGAAGAGAGACAAACAAATTGGGAAAAAAGCGCATGCCTAGAAAAAGGGATGACAAGGTGAGACGCGCAGCCGCGTCTCAATTCGTCAATGTGTTAAAATTAGGCGATGCTGCTGCATTCGAACGATGGTATTTGCTTTCATGTACCAGCTACTATTATTATGTGTCAGTTATGGTCTGTATAAAAAAAACAGTAAATATGGCATTCAACCCACTCTAGATGCGCGATGCATTAGGCATCCAATCAAAATCGTATGGACCCTAAGAGTATATTCCTTCTGCTTTTCGTGCTCTCAATTAGCTTCGGAGATCTTGGTCATGGCCGTACAAGCACTTGAAGTAGTGTATTCCACCCACTGTCTTTTCCTCATTGGGCCACCTGTCGAAATTGGCGTAGTGCATAGTGCAGTTCGATTAAAAGGATTCCTTATCTGAAGGTTCGCACAGATTCTTGCGAAACATACTCGTCTAAAAGCTGAGGCTTTATATGAATATCTCTTCTACCTGACCGATCAGCTTAGGAAAATTGTCTCTTGAAAGCTCGGAAAGCGAGTTAGCACTTAAAAAAATAAAAAGGAAATATTATTTGACAAAATGTTCATGAGCTCGTTCACATGGAAAAATGAAATCGCAATTTGATCTGCTCATGCGAAAAATTGGGAAAAAAAATGATAATGTATGCTATACGAAGTTGATTGCCTCAATCCAACATATGAAGCAGCTCTTATTCTCTTCAAAGATACGAGGAAATAGCATGTGAATAAGAGAAGCGCTCGCCTTGTTTTCTCCAAATCCCCACTCTAACCAGTAATTGTTTAGAACGATTAGCTCTATTGATCTTATCGATCGCGAATTGCGGCAAACGCTTGCGTTAAGAGTGACTGAGCAGTCGAGAAAACGCGGGTCGTATTCTGTGATTTTTCAGCACTTATGATTCTAGGGAGAATATTGAATTTGCTTCCTCTGAGCGCATTGGGCTTGATCCTTCCTTCATCTGAACTTTTTATTTGTCCATGAGTCGTTATTCAGTACTAGCGTAGCCATTACTGTGGCTAAACCTGTGATTGCGCCACGAACATGCTTTCGCGAACCATATACGCAATACTTTTTCCAAATTCCTGGTGGAACTCGAGTCACGTTCAATGAAGTAATCGAAAGAGGTCATTGCTTCTCATAATTTCACCAAAAGAGTAGAAAAGCTCACGAAATCGTATAGTTCTGAAATATTATAAAACGACACAGAATTCTAAATTTGACTCTTATGTGAGTAGTTAATGATTGTTAAATTCTTACGTGTGAAATGAAACCTCGCCAAAGAAATGCTCGCGAAACGACGTGTGATGCTCAGTTGTCTACTATCTACCACATATTCGAGCGCACCTTATGTCGCCGAACAAATGAGTAAATAATAGATACATTTCTATGTTCACTACGGATACCGCAATTCCTTAGCCATAAGTCTATCTATGAGAAGCAAACGCGGAGAGTTATAAGAAAAAGTTTTAGGAATGAGGTTCTATGAGAAGCTAGAGGAGACAAGCAGTCAGGAGAAGGTAAGACAGGAGTTGAGTATTTCGAATTCTGAATGTTGGACATTTTCGCTGTCGAGTTTTGAAATTCATAGTTCATGAAAACGTCTTTTTGAACGAGTTGAATTGTGTACAAGAGCAGTGCAAGGGATTGTGAAGTAAGAGAGCAAACATGGGCGGGAAGTGTTGAGATGCTCAGGAAAGACCATGCTGGCTGCTGGCAGGCTTAATGAGAGCTGAGTGCTTTGCTCACAAAACGAGCACTCATAAGCGTCGTAAACCACACGTCGTGAACCTCTGCTTAGTTCCCTTTCGTTTCTCCGTTCACGTCTTTGAGCGTTTACTGGCGAAGCGTGTTATGCTGGAAACTCGTGAAAAATTTCTCATTGGCACTTGTTGCAGAAAATTTACTTTCCAGATGGTGGCGTGTAAACTTGGACGATTTTATGTAAATGAAAAGCAGATGTTGGATGTGAACTATGTGCTGAGGAATGGCGACTCTATCCATCATTGGGGTCATCGTCATGAACATCCTAGTTGTTTTTTTTATTCTGCACTCTTTGCTCATTATTACGTTTGTGTTGACTTCATAGGTGAGACTTTTATGGATTGCCACTACTTGATGGACGCCATGGTGTAGCCGGCATAGGACCGCTTAACCACTGGCGACGGCGGGTTCAAATCCTGTAGTCGCCCGGGCCAACCAAGCCTTCCATCCCTCCGGGGTCAGACTTGTCTGGGAGGAAAAAACACTGACTTGTACATCGGCTGGCCCCCGCAAGTCATTGTATAGGCCACATCGCATTCAAACGCCACTACGAATGTACAAATGGAAGTAGAATGCGTGCCGCATCCCAAAAGGGATTGATCAACGGCAAATGCTTTATCCTTTTTTATGCTTTACTTCTCAATGATTAGATGTAGAAACCCTAAAAAAGCTATCAAAGACGGAGGTGGACCGCATCGTCATAACCATCATCATTGAGGGTTTCGTAGTCATAAGAGGATTGAGTGTGGCCATCTGCCTGTCGGAAACTGCGTGATGCTTTTCGAATTTTATGTGCGTGCACATTAAATTAACACACGACAAAAACAACAAATTAACATGATAGATGCTGTTTTCAAATTTGGTGATTCAAGAGGAAATCACTTGTGAGCAGTGTGGAAAGTGGGCGATCATCGCGAGACCTTTTTTCATTGAGACCTTATTTTACGATAAGAACGTGATGGACGGGAAAAATTGTGGTTGCTTTAGCAAATAACTCTACTGGATTAGTACTCTCGCTCTCGACAGGTTCCCTTTTTTGTTGTACTGCAACAAAGATCAATTCCGACGTGCATATCAAGTTCAAGTAGAGCACACTATACCTTGAACTCATAAGACAACACGAACAGAAAGCAAGCAACTTCTGGGGGTGACGCTCTCGCGCTACCAATAACAGAATGGTATTAAGTAATGTCGTACCTGCATTTCAAGTCCTTATCAACTTAATTTTGCTAGATTTTAGAAGAAAGGAAGTGTGTTATGCAGTTGAAGCGCATAGAGAGGCCGACGAAGAAATTCTGCAAAAAGCTCTGCGGCCTTGGGGAAAGCGGATTTCAAGTGAATGAAGAGTGTGATTGAAGGGAAGGGGATCTTTAGAAAAGCTTCCAGTGCTCCCGTCAAAAAAGTGTAAGCAAAGGATCGAATACTAATGAAATTGAGCTCCTTGGCAACAATCCTCGTTAAGCAGTACTCCATAACGGTTAATTTGCCTCATCTTCATTTAAATTATACATTTTGCTCAGATGGGAGCTCCATTCGGAAAGCGGAATGAAGGAGTCAGCAGAATGGCGTTTTGGTTCTGGCTGACTCCGATAGACAAGGGAATGACCAATTGTCAAAGCATATGATAACTTACTTATAGATGCAATCGCCAACTTTTTGCCTGAAAAATGAATATTGTTGCATAGGGCACTAATGTAAACAAGGTATCTTCGTCGTGTTCGAGCTTCAGTACGGTGAAAATGTAGTTTGAGGGGGCCACTCATAATGTCTAATCAAAGTGACATCTAATCAACATTCAGAGCACAGGCTCTGAGCGTATGATTAGATAGGGCTACCAACCCGAGATTCCGTACAAAATCGGATACCTGAGCGGCCCTTTCTTCGAGGGCTTGCACGGCAATCGGATGAAGTTTTGGTGAAAGTGAAGAATAGCAAGTTAGCAGCGACAAGGGTAACAAGTGGTCGTAGGCCACGGTCTCAGTGAAAGATATGATAAGATATGAGTGCCTTCCCGCAACTCTACTTTGATTAGATATGTCTTTCCGCAGCTCCACTTCGATTAGATAGGGTGCCCCCCCGAACTACATTTTCACCTCTAGTACTACTCATAGATTCATGAAAATATAGCTTGGGGAGAGCTCTAATAAGGGTTCACAGACGGGTATCCTCCAGAATATGAGCTTAAGGCAACGATGGTTAACTTTCTGATGTTTGCTACCCTTTTTATTTTTAGGGTCGCTTCAAGAAAGAAAAATGATATTTCAAGGGAATGCAGCTCAGATGTGTGCAGAATTTGCGAAAACATTTCTGGAAAACGAAAAGGATGTGAGGATTCCCACAAGAGCGCGCCCTAATAATGATGAACTCTCCTTTTTGGAGAAATTTTTGATTCTATATTTTTCAATAATAATACTTCGCTGTGAACCTGTGAGACTCCTTAGCGTTCTCTGACACTCAAAGGAAACCCACGGAACTGGCGCGTGCCCTAGCCTCGAGTTTGCTAAGCGTCGAAGCTTACCAATGTGTTCTATTCCCTTGCATAGAACTTCATACCCCTTGGATTCCTTCATTCCTCAAATTGATCCTACCACCACTCCACCCATGGAAATAGAAAGGCAACAGTGTTGCACAGTTCCATACAGAATGTTGTGAATAAATCCAGTGTTTTCTTGTAGGCAAAAACACTTATCGATGTCAAGTTTTATTTTTCAAGGACGATTAAAAGAACTTCTTATTCAAATGGAGTATTTTGAAGTCAGTGGCAGATTAACTCACCGATGATCATCGCCTTGGGCCCGACGTTCCGCGATTAGTTCATCCACACGAAGGTCCGGGTCCAGGCGGGACTCCTGCCGATCACCTTAGGTGTTTGAGATGAGGAGATAGACATAAGAGCAACTGACTATTAAAGCGGGGAGGGTCGTGATGGCCTCTTTCGATAACAACATCTAGAGTTGCCTTTCGATTACGGGTGGTCATGGGGAGCCAAGGCGGGGAGCACACAGGTGGCATGTTCGGGGTTCTCTCACATTCTCGCTAGTCGAAACATCTTCTTATAAAAGCTTCGTTACTAGTGCCGCAGTTTTTCGAGTGCACTGGTCAGAAATTCCACGATGATCAGAAATTTCATAAGGAACCTAGGGATGTGCTAACAGACGAATGATGCGATCAATTTAAATTCCATTAACTGCCGTGGTTCTTCCAAGAATTATTATAACTGCTCTCATGTTGCTTTATTTCGGTGCTCGACTTACCGATTACTGTCATCGCGGACACGGACGATTTACTGGTTATCAATAAACCTCCATCGTTGCCGGTACACGCATGCGGACAATATGCTATTCACACGGTATTAGGGCAGCTCCGATACAACCATGACCGACACGGGCTTAGAGGTAAGCCTTATTTCACCCATTCCCACCGTATTGTTTTGCAAATGCATCGATAATAACGTTTCTAGTGTTGCATCGGTTGGACCGGGCCACTTCTGGTGTGCTGATGTTTGCAAAGAATTATGAGACTGACAGTGAGGTACTGAAGTGTTATTGTCTCAGTATGCTTTAAAATCGGAAAAAGCAACTTCTCTCGATTGCAGTTCAAGAAGACGTTGAAGGAGGGCGACTGGTCAAAGGAGTACGTCTGCATGGTGGAGGGCGAATTTCCTGAGTGAGTTTTGTAGATTTCACAGCGGCCAGGTAGTGTAACAGTGAGGTATTATTAGCGGTCTTCGATCTTGGAAAAGAATTTTATACATGTCGATTGCGAGAATCAAAGGAGAACTGCGAAAGAAACGTCGGGTTTGAGTCCCGGAACGATTCTGGCGATCCAGACGTTTTGCGACCAGACGTCCGAAGACGCACTTTGCATATACAGGGGGGGCCAAAAAAAAGACATTTTGCCTCCACTTCCAGATGGATTTAAGCACATTTTACTCAACTCAGACCGAACGGTTCCAACTTATTATTAAAGAGTGCATTCCATTCTATAAGAAAATCTTCATAGTGGCCACGTACGTGGACGGCATCAGAAGAATTAGCCCTGGAAACATGGGTGCACTGGTCGATCTCAATGGGGTCTTCGAAGGATCGTGTACCATAACGACCCTTACTGGAAAGCTAGTTCCGAGGGGATTTGCACAGTGGTAGCTAATGCCTCTAGAAAACTATCCAACATTAAATCGATTCACGAAATTGCGTAAGAGCTTCAGGCTGAAGCTCTTACGGTAGACCTCCTTGAGCCTGACGACGGTGACAGATGACGTCATATTTCTGAAGACGGTGAGGGCAGTGAAGGAGAGCCTGCGTACACTAATAGAGGAACACTTAGGGAATACTCTGCTGAGGAACTCCCGTCAACGACAGCAATCTCTGCGAAGAAAAAAGAGCCGAAGTCCGACATAGGCAAAATGTCTTTTTTTTGGCCCCCCTATAGGACAAAACAGAAATCGCGAAGGGTATTCTTCCTACATTGCGACTCTGTAGGGAGCGATTCTCACACATAATATCTCACTGTTGTATGGTTTACTATAGTTTCATTGCAGCACCGGACTCGCCGGTCCGAGTTCCGAGTCAAGACCATATCTGCGCTCCTCTTATTCATGTTCTCGTCACCAATTCTTTTCGCTTTCCGCGGCGTTGAGTATCTTTTTGCTGTCTGCTCTTCGACACCTTCTACTACCCGGCGAAGAAAAGCTCCCAATTTCGGTTTTTGATGGTTTTTTTTCATTATCTGTCCATTTCGCACCTCTTCCTTCATTTTCGGCAAAGTAATCATAGCAACTTGGTCCTCGGATATGACTTTGATTAGCTCTTTTTATCGAAAGCCACCGCCGCGATATTGTATGATATGTAACTTCCTAGGTTCCAAAAACCAAACGCGCGTCAGTGCAGACCACACACCACAAGTGACGACGGCCTCAAGTAAATCTGGTTAGTAGTGGTTCATAGTGATAGCTGATTTTTGGTAAATGATAGTTGTAATTAGTGACAACTGATAGAATACAACTGCAACCGGCTAATCATTCATTGGCAGAAAGTTTGGCACTATTTACCCTTTACTGCCCCACTCCTCGAGAACTGAGCCGGGTTTTTATCGAAATTTGTCCATGACTGTGGATTTGGCTAGAAACTTGCCTTCAGGGGTAATTCGACCCGTAGAACACGAATATCACATTCGTTTACCGCTAGAACGCCTGGCGCTCGCGCCAGAAGCGCCGGCGCCAAAAGGCGCCAGAACATCTCGGATCACCAAATTCGCTGGAAACTTGTCCTTCAGAGGTATTTTGACCCGTAGAACATGAATATCACATTAGTTCGTTGCGAGTGAGCCTGTAGCCTGCGCTACGGGCGCCCGCGCAAAACTGTTGTGATAGCGCCGGCGCCTGTGGCGCGGGCGCCAAGCGTTTCGCGCTAAACCGGTGTGATATTCGTGTTCTACGGGTCGAAATACCCCTACAACTTTCTAGCCAAATCCACAGTCATGGACGAATTTCGATCAAAATCCGGCTCAGTTCTTGAGGAGTGGGGCAGTAAAGGGTAAATAGTGCCAAAAATTTATATCTTGTGAAGGCCATCGTCACCTGTGATGTATGGTCAGCACTCGGCGTGCATCTGGTTTTCGGAAGCAGAGGATGCATATGTTCATTTGTGAAGTCGTATCCAGATATTAAGCAAAGCCTTTATGAATATTACATACCCTATTCAGTGAAGAGATTGAG